TATTTTCAGTCATACTAGTTAGTGATTGTTAATTTAATATTTAAAAATTTCGGTATTGACTTTTCAAGTTTTGTATTTATTGTTTGATAATTCTTCATAATTAAACAATAACAACAATTAGTCTGATGACTTTTCATTAGGAAAGTCCTATTCCTATTCATTAGGAAGGTATAATTGGAAATACACTATTTTGTATGGATCCCCGTGGTCAGCCTCCGGACCGGCTCCATCTCTTCCATTGGTCTCTTGGCCAGCCACCTGAACCGTTTTCACCATGTTCTTGGACTTTTGCTCCTGGGTTTTGGTTTTTGGACTCGGCTTATTTATATTCTATTTTTGTGAGTGTTTTGGTATTATTATAATTTAAGTTTAACTAGTTAGTTCTGAGATCATTCTTACTATGTCTCTGAGGTTGCTTGTGATCATTTGTTTCTTAGGTTCCCCTTGTGTCTTTGTCCTCTGTGTCCCTCTCTGTGTGTTTCTGTGTGTCCTTGTCTTTTTTCCCCTCTTGTGTTTACGTGTTCCCCTCCTTGTGTTTCCTTCCATGGCTCCCCTGTCTGTCATGTCAGTTCATGTATGTTCACCCCGGTAAGGTTGGGCGATATATCGACTATCTGAGTCTATAGGCTGAGGTTATTGTCAATCGTTTTTACAAGGGAGATTTTTTTATTTATTTGCCCATGAGTAATTCTGCTAATAATGTTGGCTGAAGTTAACAGAAGCAGTCAAAAATAAATAAATAATAGTGCTGTTTTAATGGCACCCTCCTTCAGCTGTAAGCAAATGCACCCTCCTCAGAGTGTGCCCAAATGCAGCAGTGATTCATTTACTGAAACTCATAACAGGAAGAAAGAATTGCAGTAGCCTATGTTCAGAAAAAACCCCAAAAAACATTTTATTTAAATAAAAAAACCACAATGGTGGGGAGGGAAACAAAGAGAAACTGGCTTCTTTTTTCCACTATAATGGTGTTTACAGGCCGTTCCAGTGTTTATCTCTCTTACACACTCAACCAAACAACAAATAAGTTAAAAATCAAAATGTCTCTTCCAGTGAACATAAAAAAAAGAAATTGTGCGATTTGGCGCATCTCAAATAAATAAATAAATAAATGAATAATCCAAAAAGTATCTGTATTAATACTGAAACAAACAAGAAAGAATGTAAAATATTCCCTACAAACAAAACTTATAAACTCTTTGACAGGAAAACAAGCATGTTTACTTTAACAGGTTTTAGCAGTGATAACGATATTACCAGCAGTGCTGAAAACGCGTTCTGAAGGTGTGCTTGTGGCTTGTATACACAGATATTTCCGTGCCATATGTGGCATCAATGGGGAACGTTTTTCATGCATTTTCCACCAAACCAGTGGATTGTCTTCTCCGTCTACGACCTCCTCGCTAAGGTAACAGTCCACTTCTATCTATGCCTTCTCCTCCAGTGTACAATTTGGCAATGAGTTCGTCCATGTTTGGACATCTTCTGTGTTCTAAACGCAATTCAGTTTGTGCATGTTTACATTGCTCTGCCCATCAAAAAGTCTCATGCGTGAATATATCGCCTATTGTCGGTTATTGGAGTGATGATTTTCGGTTGGAAAATTCTTACTCCCCGACCCATCATCTCTCTCTCCCTCTATGTCCCTTGTTTCCTCTTTGTCCCTCTCTCCGTGTCCCAGTCATGTCATTGTTTTCGTCTCCCGATTCTGTTCCCATGTTCCCATGTCTGTTTCTTCCCTGGTCCCATGTGTCAAGTCCATGTGTCTTAGTCTGCATGTTTCCTGTTTTATTTTGACAGTCTCTACTCTCGTGTTCAGTGTGTTCTCTTTTGCTTCCTCCTGCCTCG